TTATTTGAAAGTATACCCAATATCTTTTCAACTTTCTAGTGTCCTAGCAAAGGATTAGGAAGCATTGAAATAAATCATCCTTCACAGCTAGAAAGCTGTCCCTACCCTAGCTTCCTAGGTTTTTCTTCCTTGAACTGAATCTATCACACATACCCCTATGTGCAGATGCGTACACACACACACACACACACACACACACACACACACACACACTCACACACTAGTATTACCATGAGACATAGCCCATACATCAAAATCAGTGCCAAAAATCAGTTTGTTACTCTCAAAGTCACCATTAAACTTGGGAATTTCCATATTTTCCTGTTCTTAATTCCTTTGCAAACACACCATAAAAAATTATGCCTTCATTATTTAAATATTACTTTATTATATATATAATCAAAATTTTCCTTAAAATTATTACTCAATAATGTCTAAAATATATAGAAAATTTTTAGAATACTAAATCGCATATGCTATATTAAAAATAACATCAGAGCTTTTTAAACCTCATAACTATACATTTTCTGTAGACATTTATAAACAGAATTTGTGACACTGAATTATTCACATTTGAAGGTTTTGATATAATATAGATATATTTGAAGTTTTTGTGTAATATTTGATTTATAGCCAAAACCATATGATTTCTTGGTTTATGATGTTTCTTACCTATAGATTCATTTAAAACATATTTAATGACCTCAATACTTGTGGCAGCTAATAAAACTCCTAAGGGAATTATACAAATGAAGTATGAAGTATCAAATATGAATTTACCAAAGTCCTACAAGTTATGAATTTGGATGGAGAAATAACCAAGTATGATGTTCTAAATTGCCTATAACTTTCCCCTTCCTCCATACCCCTCCTCCATCCATCATCTTTTCTTACATGATTAATCAAAATAGGAATAGTGACTCTTAATGTGCGTGCAATCCTGTATTTTATATATGTTTTGCCATTTTGAAGTACAGTACATAATACACTCTAAATAGAAAAGTTCAAAAATTTTACAGATTTTGATCAATCTTTTCTCAAAAGTTATCATGTCAAGTTTCTGCCCTGATATTTTCAAGCACAGTTCATCACAAATGTGTCCTTCTTCCTGTATTTACAAGGAAAGAAAATATACTGTCTTTTTCTCACCACAATAGAAAAGCCCAATATTCTAAATACCCCCTGTGCTTTTACTCTGTATATTACTGGTATTAAGCATGGGCATGTATTTTGGCCTTCCTTGTTTCTAAATCACCCAAAGAAAGATTCAAAGCATGATTCCACAAAAGTACCCATTGAGAACAGTGAAGCCCATTATTTCCCCTCCCACTGCTGGCCAAGGTCAGCATGCCTATCATTAGCCATGGCATAACATAATTGTATTACTACTCCTCATGTGGGTAGATATTAAGCAATAACTGCACACATCTCATCACTGTAAAAATGAAAAAGTGCCATATTTCATCCTATTTTAGCATAAAAATCAGTGCAAATAATCTTTAGAAATGACATTGCACTAAGAAACTGAAAGGAACTGTTATTACTCTTAAAGAATATATCTAAGCTGAGAATTTGACATCTTCAACTAGAAAAAATAGGACTATATTTTACTCCCTAACTACAATTGTGAGCTCATTTAATCCAATCTCTTTTGGTAGCTTTCAGTTCAATTAAGGGATACAGCATTACTTAAAATAGTCTAATTAGATGTAACTCGGCTCTGGTACCCATCTTCCAATGTCTGTGATATAATAATGCTTTCAAGTTGCAAAAAGGGAATAGTGTTCCCTCCATCCTGCATGTCTGGGCATTCTCCGAGCTACACTGCTGTTCAAGGACCGATGTATCTAGCAACATCCCAGACAGCGGTTCCGGGCATTTGTGTAACTAATACACTTGCCATAGCCAGTGCCACTTGCATTGGCATCACAATGGACTACATGAAAATGAAGGCCAGTATGCACAGTGGATCTGACGTGTTCATAACATTATGTGGTCTTATTGAACTGTTTCCCAAACTGCCTGCTAGAGAGTTTGTTAACTGCAAATGTAAGTGGTGATTTGGCAACCTATGCTCAGCAGCACTGAAAAGTGTCCACGGAGTAAAACAATCACAATTTAGTTAAGGAAAACTGCAGGAAGAGGATATTCATTTTCTCCATTAGGTTCTCTTCTGACATGGAAAAAATGTCATTGCAGAAACTACAGTTACAGTTTCATGGCACTAAAGCTCAGAAGGATACTAGTTCCTCTGGGATTTAGCATAATAACTTTAAATAGTGAGCTGTTGACAGGTTTAAAATAAAGGTAAGTAGTAATTTATGATCTTATCACCCTTTGAAAACAATCTGACAAAGTGACTGTTATTTGTAATAAAGTACATATTTCTTATACCTCAGAAGAAGAGGTTTACTTTACAGTCCTGTCACTATTGGGAGGTCTGCTTCAACTTTTTTTTTTTTAATAAAGGTAGATACAATTTTCTTTCTTTACCTCTTCCAAACTAGTTTCTTCCATATTTCAGCAAATCCACTTCATTCATTACAAAAAATGAATGCCATCTTACTAAATTCCAACTCAAATGGTACAGCTGGACAGATACTATACACCAATGTAATCTCAACAGAGTAGAAAGCTCAACTGCCTGGGCTTTGCAGGGCCTTCAAACATACTCAGTACATTTAATATAATCAGGGATCAGTGACAAATGTATTTGATGGACTGCTACACAAGGATGGGCAGGAGCAGGCGTCCCTGGAGAAACATTTCCATGAAGTCTTTTCCTGCTATTAGAAACATGTCTTATGACTCTGCATTTTTAAAAATCCATTATTCCCTGGGTAAGTTAAATAGAAGACTTGCCACTAGTCTATAGAAAGGGTACCTAATTTGCATCTAAAAAGAACAGTTTGCTTCTTATACACAGAGTGACTTAAAAAGAACTTCAATAAGCTGGTAAAGAAATACCAAAGACTTTCAAAATTAATTCATTCAGTTCACAGCATAACCCACTAAAATTATTTAAAGCATTTAATTGGAAAATGATTTAATATATTGAAGTAATTCCTGATTTTCCAAAGCATTTAACTTCTGAATTAAATCTGACCCTACTATGGCAAGAATGGTGAATGAAATGTGTATCCCAGTCATTACCTTCTTTTTGAAGCCTAAAATCACTGATAAATTTAATAAGATTTGTCCAGTTTCATTGCCAAAATGATTCTGATCTTTTTGTTCCAGTAATGACTGTGGAATATGTCATTAATCACTAAAAGAGAGCTGCCACTTTATTATTTTTTATTAGCAGTGTTTTTTGTCAGAAGCAAAATAAAAGGTAAACACAATACTTCCATTTAAAGACAAAACATTTCAGACTAAAATAATTATTAACAGTAAACAATGAAACTTCATCACACAAACTTCTCTGCCTTTGCCAAAGTTCCCAGTACCTTTCAACTTGCCCTTAGCTAAGGGCTGCCAGTGTAAAAAGCCTTTCTGCCTTGCCAAAGATAGACTCTGCTCTTTTCTAACTTTCCTGAACACCATGGGGACCATGAAGTGAGGCTTACACTGTACACAGCATCGAAGAGTTTCTACAGACGTGATGTCTGCAGTTCACTCACAACCGTGTGCCTGTGTGCGTGTGTGTGTGTGTGTGTGTGTGTGTGTGTGTGTGTGTGTTTCTCAGTTAACCAGATCAGCAACTGCAAGTCGTTTGCGCTGTGGAGACCAGGAGCTGAGGATGCAGCCAGCTAAGCACCTCTGTATCACTTTAAAAAGCTGTTTGGTGAGGACTCTTATCAAGCAAATGGGAGTCCCAAGGACGTTTCCCTGGAATTCACCAAGGCATCGACGTGCTAGTGCCTGTGGGGGTTATAAGAATCTGGAAGTCTATCACCAACACACAGCTGTGCGTCTCTTAAAAGCCCTCCCCGCATTTCAGACAACTGAATTCTCCCGGCCAACTGTCATCTGGTGGGATTGCCAGACACGTCCAACAAGCCCAAGGTAGGACAGCAGTGCCTTGCTCTGTTCTCAGGGATGATCCCTGCTAGCTCTACCACCCAAAGCGTTCTAGAAACCTAGAGAGTAGCCCTTTCTCTAAGCATCTATCTCCGAAGCACCCCCAGTAGTGCCCCCACTCAGTGCCCAGCCTTCCTTTGGCCCTCAACGCCTCTGCAAAAGGATCAGTAGTCTATGTGAGTACAGTCCAGCCCAACTTGAGTCCGGTGCTGAATGCAGGTGCTTTGGACTTGAATGCGCCACAGTAGTCCTGTTTCCAACAATTTAGTAATTTCCACGAGCAACCCCCGCAAACACACACAAACAAACGGGAGCTGTTCCCCAAATCAAGATTCCGCTAACCCTCCGAGCCCTGGCCTGCGCCAGGGACTGCCAGAAGCGGAGTGGAAAACCAGGAGTTGTGGAACAATTTTCATGGGGGTGGAGGGCGGGAGCGCCTCCGTGTTCCTGTACCCCGATTCCAGGCTGCTCCTCTGGCAACTAATCTTGGGCGGGGAAGGATGCCACGAGCCCCTGCTACCCAAGAAAAGGAGGGAGGGAGAAGAAGGAACTAGGAAATAAGCTCAATTCTCTTTGCCTCTGTTCCGGACCCCAGACACACCCCCAAAGTGTTCCCTGGCTTTCTCTCTCTCTCTCTCTCTCTCTCTCTCTCTCTCTCTCTCTCTCTCTCTCTCTCTCTCTCTCTTTAACGCCCCCCGGCAAATCTAGGCAGGTATCCTTAGTCTCGAGCAGTAGTAAGAAAGAATCCGAGCAAATCGTATCACTTTCCGCACAACCGCGGTGTATGGCAAGACCCCGAGCTGCTCCACAAAATCTGCTACCCCAGCGCACGCAGGGCTGCAGCGGACTTCGAGCCGCGCGCCCGGGACCGGCCTCCACGGAACCGGAACCGGCCGGGTCTGCCAAGCTGCCCCGCCGCCGCCCCGCTCCCGGATCACGCAGCCAGAACACGGTGGAAACAAAAGCAGAGCGTTCACCTTGTTGCAATAGTAGGGGTCCAGGCAGGGAGAAGGTCCCAGACAGGGAGCGTCGGGCGCAGCGGCGGGCTGGGCTGGAGGTGGATAAAATCTTACGTCCATTTCACTCACATCAAGCAACTCCTTTCCTATTCCCTTATATTTTTCTTTAAAAAAAAAAAAA